AAAGAAAATTTTTCTATAAGACAAAGACAGAACTTTCTTCCAAATAGAGTTTTTGAGTGCTGGAATAACCTCAACGACAACATTGTCTCCGCTTCCTCTACCAACTCGTTCAAAAACAGACTCGACAGTTTTATATTATAGTTAAAATATTGTTTTTCTTTTAAACCAAAAATTGTAATTTTATTTCTTTTAGTTGTAATTTTTGTTATTTACTAGTAGGTGATTAATGAAATTTCTTTGTTTTTGGGCATAATAGGGACTTAGTTCCTCTGCCCTCGCTTATATTATAATAATAATAATAAATAATAATAATAAATTAGTCAAACTTTAACAAAAAAATTTTGAAAATTCAAAGAATTCATCTTTTTATACTTGTAAAATTTGAAAACACGATAAAATGAACAATACCTCGACATTGCGACTTGGGGAAACTCCTAATCTAACTAAATCATTTTGATTTTTTAAGAGATGATCCAGTTCTAAGTTACGATTAACATCGCAAAGTAACTTTTTTTTCAAAAACAAATTTTTAAGCAACTTTCATTCATTAAATCAAATTTTAGTTTGCTTCAAAACACTATTAAGCACTTAATAAAAATCATCAAAATTGTCCTTGGTGAAAGCATATAAGGCCATGCAAAAATTAGATCAGCTTATCAAAATGTTAAAGGTAGCACTAAAAAGATATTTTTCAAAAATTTGAAAAACGATTAAAAAAACAATTTCCAGAAAATTACTAAAATAACTGACGTTCTTGTTGGTAATTTTTGCAAAGAAATTGATTTAGAACTAAATATTCTTGTGAATTTAAAATATGCTCCCATTACATCTCTTGATCTGGAAAGAAGTTTCTCAATTTACATTAAACAAAACAATAAATAATGTTTTGCATTTTAAAAACGATTTCCAAAGTGGAAATTGAAACATCAATAAACCTATTTTAAACTCAAACTGTGGCTTATTCTAACAAAAATAGTAATTTAATTAAAGGTGTTAAACCACATTCTTTTCTCTACTGCTTAATGAGTATATCCAATAATATTCTTAGCATTACTCACACACCTTCAAGCCAAGTCAGTTGGGTACACCTTCTTTAGTGAAATCATTTTATTGGTTTTCGTTGAAACAGACCCTCCTACCCACAGGTACCGACTCACCAATAAAATCGTAAAAAGGTAAAACTAGTTTCACTGGTACGAGGAGTAACAAACCTGTCTCTGATTTATTTGACTAATAGCAGTAGCTGAACTCATTAATGTGACTAAATTATGATTGGACAGGTTTGGATCTTGTCGATTTATATCTGGTTTTGGGTGGATGCATAGATTTAATAAAATGGCTGGTTCTAGAAATTTATAAGTGTTGGAATATTGTTTTTAAACTGCTTTTTTGGCAAAAAAATGTCCTAGTAGAATGAAATAAAAATATAAAATGTGCATTTTGGTTTTATATTATGTAAAATTTGATTAAGAATGAGGATACCTATATTAAAAATAATAATTAGTTAGTTAAAAGTGTTCTAAAACAGTTAAATTTTATTGTCACTATTTAAAATATTCTGAAAAGTACCTTTATGTTTTTAATTATTATTTCCCCTTTTGATTTTATTTGTAATGCTATAGGAACCTGCAGCTTTTTAGTTTTTTAATTCAGAGGATATCCCACATTTCTTCTTCTGTAATTTCCATGTTTTGATAATAATCATATTTTTATTCTTCTAGTACTTCTATAGGTCTAGTGCCCTTTTGTTTAAGTTTTTTTTTATATACGATATCCATTGCTATATTTCTATTTTATTTATTCATTAATAATTTTTTTCTAATTATAAAGATTTTTCAAACTTTTGTTTTTCTATTTTTAATAAACTAAATACATTGCATACATTTGTATTAAATTGATTTTCACTTTCAACTACCTATATTTTTAAATATTATTGAGTTTATGGGTTCAAATCTGATCACCTTGTTAAATTCGTTTTGTAAATACTATTCCCACCCTTTTGTTTGCTCGTTGTGGTGTTTTTATACCGGTATAAAATAGCGCGTTTCTATCTGTTTTGTTTTACTCTCTTTTATTTGGGACATTTTTTCATTCCACAGTAATGGAAAATTGGCTAAAATCTGCGTCCTGTGGAATGCAGTGGAATGTAGTGAATGAAGTCACTGAAGCATATAAATCAACTGATTTAGTGACAACTAGCAGATATGGAGAAGATTCAAATGTCCACGAGATCCATTCGAGCCCAGCACATTCAAAATGTTCTCCCTCAATTCGTGAAAATGAGTTTCCTTACCAAAAAGATTGGGTCCAGATATGACCAAGAAGATTGATAGTGTGCAGATGCCAAACAGCACTATAAGCAAAGAGAATTCACATTATTTCAGACTTTGTAGAGAGTGAGAGAGAGAGAGAGAGAGAGAAAGAGAGCTTATAAATAGATTAAAAACTGGACTTGCTGTTTTGCTTGTGTTTGTAAGGTTGAAAACCCATTCGGGATGAAAATAGAAGATGAAGACAGTGGAGTAAATGTGTGGATATTTACAGTGATGGAGCTGCTGAAATAGTTAGTAAAATTAGAGGAGCGGTGTCTAGAATAAAGGTAGTGGCAGAAAATGCCTCCAGCAGTCATCGCCATTCTTTTACAACTAAAAAGATGTCGCAAGATTTGCAAAACGTGTTGAATGATTTTGTGAAAATAATTAACCATGTGAAGAACCGTCCGCTTCAAGCACGCCTTTTAAAGATCACCGTTGAAGATATGGGTATGGATCACTTTAATCTTTTATTCCACATAGAGGTCCGGTGACTATCGAGAAGAACAATTTTAGGAAGACTATTTGAACAAAAAGATCCACTCCTATTATCACATTCACAGAGGAGTCTTTTATCCAAGAACTAAAAGATGTCAGTTGGCTGCTGAAATTGGGATACCTTTCAGACATCTTTGAAATAATAAATAAAATCACTACTTCGCTTCAAACAAAAGAAAGAGCACAATTAGATAAAATCAAAATCTTGCGTAAAAAAGTTACATTTTTCACAGCATGTGTTGAAAAGAAAAACCTCACAAATTTCTCTCGATTACAGGAATTCGTTATAACAAATGAAACCAATCCTCAAACAAACTTCTTTGAAATTGTTATTGCTCATTTCATTTGCAAGGTTTGACAGAAAGTATTGTAAACTATTTTCCTGACATTGACTCAGATGACTTATAGAGCTGGATGATGGCGTCGTTTTGGTGCAACCCAAAAAATAAACCTATCGGAATGACAAACGAAGTTTTTCAAAATCTACTTGAGATCAGCGAAGATAGCAGTTTAAAACTAAAATACCATGAAGGAAGCTTAGAAGAGTTCTGGATACAAGTATATTCAGAAAATAATGTTGTTGGCAAGGTTTGCAGCGAAAAAAGTGTTTTTCACATCGACTTGTCTCTGTGAGTCTTCTTATCCTGCATACGCTTACATTAAAAACAAATACAGAAGCAAACTTCACGAATCAAGGGATTTGAGGGTCAAACTTACAAAGATTTCCATAATTATAAAAGATATTGTTTTGAAGCTATTTTCTTGTGGCATTGTAAATTAATTACTAATTATAACTGGGAATAAGCCACAATTAAAGATAAAAATACGTTTATTGACGTTTCAATTTCCAATTCGGAAATCGTTCTCAAAATACAAACAGTAAATTAAACAAATTTTGTTTTTTGTTACATAGTGAAAAAATTCTTCTAATAATTTAATTTTATCTGACTCATTTATATTGACAATTCAGACATACATTATGCATTTTAAAGTAGACGACTTTAAAATGATATTGCCAATATTGTTGAGTTGCGCTCCTGGGACGACTTTACTATAAGATAGTTCATTCGATTACATGAAATCAACTTTAACTTGAGAATATCCGTCAGAAAAAATCATAGCATGTAATTCGTCTTTAAAAAGACAAACACATGACATGATGACAGTAAAATTCTCCTGTTAGTGATTCCATAGTAAATTATGAGGGAAAAACCAGGAAAAAAACCTCATAATACTATCCCGACATTGTAAGTATTTGTTCGTGAATTTAGTTTACCTTCAACAAACATCAAAATTCTGATTTTATAATATGTTACGTTATTTAAAAAACATAAATGATGTATCCTCTATATGTTACTGACTTACTAATACTGGTATTTTCTTATTAATAACTTCCTCTTTCAATATTGGTAACCAGATCCTACTACATTCTGCCGAGGAATTTGCGACACAATTGGCCTCATTTAGCATAATTAGAGCCGCTTCTTTGATTTTTCTTTTTTTACCATCCGTTTCTTTTAGGACTATATTTGAATTATTCCATTGAACCCTATGTTCATTATCCCATGCGTGTTTACATATTTGAGATCTATCAAATTCTCTATTTTTAATATAAGATTGATGTTCACTTAATTAAATTATTAGAAGAATTTTTTCACTATGTAACAAAAAACAAAATTTGTTTAATTTACTGTTTGTATTTTGAGAACGATTTCCGAATTGGAAATTGAAACGTCAATAAACGTATTTTTTATCTTTAATTGTGGCTTATTCCCAGTTATAAATAGTAATTAATTATAAAAGATATAATAAAAACATCATCGAAACACTTTCATTTGTCACATTAAGTAAAGTAAGGATATTTGAGTATCAAATGTATTGTATTTTATTGATCTGAAATAAAGTTTATATTGAAATCAAATCAGCCTCAGAATTGTATTTTTTTAATTTTTTGTAGTTTCCCAAATCGCTTCAAGGGTTGGTGTGCCTCGAAATATTTTTAGCCCTACAAAGGTGCCTTGACTAAAAAAGTTTGAGAACCACTGTTCTAGATTTCTAATATTTGAATATTATAACGGTCCATTTCTTCATTCTTATGGTTAATATGTATAAGAAACAGATGACACGAATTTGTTATTAAAAAGAAAATATTAGTCCGATTATACTAATAGTAATAAATAAAATCCTTACCTTTAAACTCTGTCGTCTATAACAACGCGTTCGGTTTAGATAATACTTGTAGACGTGAGGCGGAAGCGCCCTCTTTGTCTCTTCTCCGATCCAGAGCTCGGGATGCTGCGGGAGATGTTGATGATGATGTTGTTGGTGGTGCTGGTGTGGCTGCGGATGCGGCGGTCCTGATGCCGGTGACACAGGACATAAAGGCGATTTCGAAGGATAATAGTCCCTGATTAACGGGAATCGACTGCTCATAACAACTCTCTATCGCGTTATTAATTACACGCCGGCTTTACTAACGAACTGATCATTATCGGATTTCACTCACTTTTTTTTAATTTGGAATAGTTTTGTTGCTAGGAAAACATAACAACCCGGTTAAATTTGCTTTGTGTTTAAATAGTCTGGTCTCTGTTGAAAATATCGCAAATGTTTCAATAATTAACTCAAATTGGTGATTTTTTTATTACAAGAACTGGATCGGACTATGAAATAGATGTTGTGGTATCTATTGTGGAAAAAAGTATTATCTTTACTTAAATTTTAAGTCTTTGAGTTATGTTTCAGATTATTTTGAGCCAATTAACGGCAAACATATGTCCTCTAAAATAAATAAAGAAACCTATGTTAGCAGAAAAAATGGATGATTTTTAAAACCAATCGCCAGGTTAAAAGCTGAGTCTCTATAGATCGTAGCGTAAAAACTATTTTACGTTCAGCAAAAGATCGTAATTACTATAGGTAATATCCTTCTTCGTCTATTGGCAGGAATCCATTCATTGCAAAGTGATAATCTCAATGGAAATAAGAACTCATGCAACAATTATAGCGAAACCACTAAATAAAAAGGAAATAACCTTACAGGTGTTGAAGTACAGTCCTACCAATGGTATCTTCGCACCATCATCCGTTCGAGTGCATCAATCAAATATTCAAACCTGCGAGGTCTATCGTAGGAAGTACAATTATTATCGCAACGAAGAGATATCAGTAGCTGGGTCTAAACTAAATTGAGTCTAAACCCATCTCACGTTCGCTGTCTATCACTAGACTAATTTTGCTTCACAGTGATAAGAACAGCCACAAGTCAACTATCCCTGTGGTAATTTTCCTGACATTTCTTGATAAACACTTTTCAAGCCAAAATAACACATTGAGCTGTTCTAAGACTTTCTATGTGATTTTTTGAATGATGTACTACCCTCGTCAAACTCCCTGTTTTTCCGTCCTAAGTGTCTTTAAATTAAATTAGGTTAGAGGTAAGTTGACGCTCAACAAAGCTATGACATGAAGTGAAAAAGACAACAAATATTTGATTTCACGCAAACAGCTCCTTTGTATCTGTTGATCTGTTTTAAACACCTTTATCAACGTCTGTTTTGCTTTGCAATTTTTAGAAAGTACAGATTAAAGCGGAAATCTGAATTGCGTTTCGAAAACATTTTACGGTTTTAAAACTATGACACTCTTGTTGGCAAACTACACTCGTTTCGTCTTATCAAGTAAAATAATTAAATAAATGATGAAGATATGACTAAAACAAAGACATAATTAATAAAATTATTTAACACAAATCTTTTATATTTGAATAATGTAGAAGAAAATAATGTGTTACATTTTGTATGAGATCACTTAAACATCTGAATAAAGAAATAGCAATCTATTATCAGAGTAAAAGTTTATAGTCCAATTTCTGTTATTCAATCTTCTTTGGACACAGTTTACAAAAAATTTCCGAACGTGGAACGATTTCCGAAGTGGAAATTGAAACGTCAATAAACGTATTTTTATCTTTAATTGTGGCTTATTCCCAGTTAAATAGTAATTAGTTTACAAAAAGTATGAAAAGCGACTTCTATGACACACAAAAACAAATATGGAGATTCATATTTGTTTTTTTGTAATTCATGTGTGATTCATTCAAGAAACTAACGAAAAGAAATGGCAGCATTGAAGGAACTGTTTAAAGTAAAGAAAAATATTAATTAACAAAATAACGTACCTGAGATACGAAATAGAAATCAAATTTCAGGAAGTAGAAATAGCCACAAATTCACTCAAAAATAGAAAATCACTAGGACCAGACGAAATAACCAACGAGATTCTAAAATACAAAGAAGAAAGTATAACCCTAGAGATGACAAAACAAAGGAGATAAAGAAGACCCCAACAATTATAGAGGTATAAATCCACTGAACACCGCACTTATTAGCTTACCACAAAAGTCCTAACGAACAAAATCAATAAACTAGCAACTTTATCAGATCAACAACAAAGATTCAGATCCGGAAGATCTTGCGTAGACGCCGTATTTGTACTAAGACAAATCATATATGTGTTCATAGTTCTCTGTCATAGATCAAGTATAATAAACCAGCGTATATATGTTTTATAGACCTGACAAAGGGTTTTGATTGCATCCAAGTCGAAGACCTCTTACACCTGCTATGTAAAGAGATGTTGAGATGTTGAAGAAGAAGTAGAGACACAAGACACAAAAACAAGAATATATAAAGCATCAATTAGGCCTCCATTAACACACATGGCGGAGACAATATCCAACGCATCTAAAATAAGACAACTATTACAAACAACAGAGATGAAAATACTCCGACGAATATCAGGGAAAAATCTGTTGGATAGGGAAAATAGCGAAAACATAAAAAGAGAATGCAATATAAAAGACATAAATATATGGGTGAAAAAACTGAAACAGTAGTAGAACGAACAAATTAATAGAATGACAGAAGATAGGATAGTACGAATAGCATGAGATAAGTCACCAAATGAACGAAGAAGTATTGGCAGACCAAGAAAAATATGGTGCCATAATTCAAACAATTGATTAGGCTTACATAAAAGAAGGAAGAAGAACACAATCTTCTTGTGTTAAACAGATCCTTTGAAATTGTCCAATCAACATCGCAGTTTTAACTTTATAAATTTCATCACGCATTAAGTCCACTGACAACTGTCCAAACTATTCTATACTTCTTCAATCCACAATTTTACCTTGTTTGGATAAATGTGTTCAAATATATATGACGCAGAAGCTTTAATATCTTTTTTTTTGACAATTAATATCTTTTTTCTATTCTATTATCTTCTATTCTATCTGGCACTTTCCGGTTAGTTACATCTCTTAGTTAATTTAAGAGATATTAAAAATCAGATTACATCGATAACTTCTAGCGTCTTTTTATTTCTTTATTGAGGATCCAACCTTCTGAATCGTTGAGAACTTATAATAGATAATATAATTAACAGTTTCTTTAATCTTAGAAAAACTCATCTTGCTTTTTCTCTACGAGAAATGATTTCTTTTTGGTATTGAAGATTTTCGTTCATAAGTGTCCAAAATGTTTACAATTCTAAACTCGTTCGATGGTATTGTAACTAATGAATAGTTGATCTAAAGTGTTGTTGTTTCCTTTAGTAAATATTTGCTATTTTTTGTTTTTAGCCAAAAATACTGAGACCTCTAATTTACTGATTTGTACTATCTTATTCACTTATTTGACAAAAATCACCCCCGATCAGGTAGCTCATCGTCTCCTGACAAATGGTAAGACGACATCAAGAAAGAACAAAGTGAGAGTACAACGACATATCGAAGAAGAGGAGGATGTTCTAGGTACCTCCTTTTGTCTGGAAGAGATGAGAGGTGCGATCCACCAAATGAAAGATAATAAAGTGGCTGGCTTAGATGATATACGAACAGAACAAATAAATCGCTTGGGACCAAAAACCCTAGAGTGGCTTCTAAAAATGATGAACTGTTGCGTCCGTACATTCCAAATCCCCAAAATCTGGAGGAAAGCTAGAGTGGTGGCCGTCTTAAAACCAGGAAAGGATCCGGCGGATACAAAGAGTTTTAGACCTGTCGATCTTTTGTGTCAACTTTTTAAGGTGTTCGAAAGAATGATACTGAACTGATCGCTAAATCTGTGAACACCAAAATTATTCCTAAACAAGAACAGTAAAATGCTGCTGCAGTAAAAATCTTAATCTCACCTAAAAGATATACCCAAAACAAATAACATAAGTAGCGTTTATAGACCTGACTGGGCTGCTGATCAACGGCTGCTGGTAAAACTCTACGCAATTACAAAGGATTTCCGACTAACAAGTATAATGAGATGTCTTCTTCAGAATGAGATGTCTTCTACGTAACGCTCCAATCCAAGAACTGTCGGTGGAGGGATAAAAAAAATGAACTCCCACAGGTAAGTGTCCTCGCGCCGTTGCTACATAACATTTATACCAACGACCAACCCAAAAACCAACAAACAAGACAGTTTGATATCATTTACGCGGATGATTCAGCTGTGGTAGCTCAAAGAAGTACCTTCAATGAAGTCGAAGTAAAACTGACAGATGCTCTAGAAGACAGCACTATACTATGACGAAAACCATCTGAAACCCAATCCTACAAAAACCCAGGTGTGTGCTTTCCACCTTAGAAACAAGCATGCCCGAAGGACACTGGAGGTGGAATGGCGTGGTCAGAAGCTGAAACACAATGAGATGCCAAAATACCTAGGCGTACGTCTGGATAGGACTTTGTCATATCGATATTACTGTCAAGATATCAAGAAAAAAGTAAGCGATAGTAATAATATCACCGCAAACTAACAAACACAAAATGGGGAGCATAGCCACACACTCTTCGTACTTCTGCCTTAGCATTATGTTTTTTTTGCCGCCGAGTTTGGAGCACCAGTATGGGAAAACTTTGCTCACGCTAAAAACGTCGATGTTGCATTAAATGAAATGTTTCGTATAATATCTGGCTGCCTGAAACCGGTACCTATCGAAGAGGTCTACCCTATAGTTGGAATCGCTGTACCTGCTATCAAAAGACAAGTCACGTCAGAATAGAACGAAAGAAGCAGCAGGCTGATCGAAGACATCCCTTGTATGACCACCAAGTTCAGAGGAAATGGCTGCTGGATAAAATTTGCCGTATCCCACATAGCTACTCTGCTAAACATACTAATATCTGGCCTTTGACGTTGTGCTAGTAACCTGAAGAAATGGGGATACCAGGAGAACGGCACCTGCAACTGTGGCGCGGTTCAGAATAATCACCATCTACTATCATGCACAGAGATGAGAGAAACCTGCACAGAAGAAGACTTATTTTTAGTGAATGACAGGGCTATCTATGTGTTCAACCATTGAAAATACAAAATTTAAAGCTGTAGCTGCTCCGGATATGAAAAGTATGTAACTGTAAAGACCGAAATAGTCCT